AAATATTTATTTATAATAATAATTATTATAATAAAAATATTTTATTGAATATTTTATTTTATATTAATTTTTTTTTTATTATTTAATAAATTTATTTTTAATAAAAAAATTATTTTTTTAATTATTTATAAAAGTTTTTTTATTATTATTAAAAATAAATATAATAAATTTTTTTAATAATTTTTATAAAAATATAAAAATATTTATTTTATTTTTATTTAATTTAAATATAAATATATTATTTATAATAAATTTATTATTAAAATAATATTTTTTTTTAAAAATAAAAATAAAAATTATTATTTTATTTTTTTTTAAAATAAAAAAAATAAATTCTTTTTAATTATTTATTAAAAACTATTTATTTAATAATAATAAAAATAATTTTTATTTAAGTTTTAAAAAATTAATAAAAGTTATTATTATTTTAAAGTTTTTAATAAAAATAATAAAAAAAAATAATAAAAATATTTTATTTAATAGTTAATTAAGTAAAGTAAAGTTTTTAATAAAAAAGTATTTAAAAGGTGGGGTACCTATAAGTATAGGAGGGAAGTTTATTTTTTTATATACATATATATATGCGGCGGCTGCTTATAATATCTATCTTCAGTTATATCCCAACATAAACCCTGTTAACTATTACACAGACCTTCCGCCTCTATCTCTTGACGAACTTGAACCCGAGCCTGAGCATGCTGATGAAGCCATCATGAATGAGGAGTGGGACAGCCAAGCTCTCTTAGCATCTAAGATAAGTTGCTTTACATTTCCTTTGCCCGCATCCCCTGTATGAGAAGCTTGGCCGACACTATGCAGTCTATCAATCATTTCCAATTTTACCAATGCCAACGTGTAATACTCTCGAGAATGCCGGACGAAGCTCGTATACACCGCAGATTGGTCACTGTCCATAAGCGGGCGAGTTTCAAGACCCAGTTGTGGTTGACTTAAACGCTTGTTCCACAGCGATAACCATTTATCAAGTAGTTGAAAGAGCGGTGTAGTAATAGTAGGTGAAGGAAAGCAGGAGATTTGCTGGCAAAATATAATCGAGTGTATCGCTAGTAAGAGTAAGCAATAGGGGCCATAGACAACGCCGATTAAATTTACTATAGGCGGAACCATACCTGATATTAGAATGAACCCATCTAAGTCTGTAAGTTGTGGTAAAGAGATATCTATAGTTGAATTCGTCGTGTCGCATAGCATCTGGATGATCCGATGAATACGGGTTTCTCTTATTGCAGGATAAGTAGGACAGATCTGCTGAACCAGACTAAAGAACTCATCGCCTGCACGAGCATGAAAGCATGAATCCGGATATGAAAAAGGAAAGTCTAAATCGGGAATAGTAATGTGAGGAGGCGTCATAAAGAAGATAGTAAAAGCTGTGTCAAGAAGAAAAATATATGATTTAGTACTATTTAAACCATCAGGTTAGTAGTTGAAAGTATTAATAGGTAAACGGGGGTATGTAAGGAAATGTAGTGTTATACCGAATTAATTCTTCTTCCAGGATGAATTCATTCCAATACTGTAATGTCGCCGCTAAGTCCTCCCCTACACGTTCACCTGGTCGGGAATATACTAGCTTTTCAGAAGCTTGAGCGATATATGGATATCGAATCTTCCTGACTCTCGCTTTTGCCTTATCAGACCCTTCCCACGTTTGCAAAACACAAATCAGAACAGCCGTCTGTAAAAAACGCAGCTTAATATCTCGCGCTAAGGAAATATCAACCTGATTATCATCATTTTCTTGCGACAACCATGGCAGCGCAAATATAAGCCTCTCGGCTGAATCTAGCCATTTTCGGGCATTCTTAACGTCTTGTAAATCTGTAGAAACACAAGCACCTATAAGAGCCATAGTAATAACTAGTTCTGTAGGAGCTTGAGCAGGGTTAAAGCTAGGCAGATGAATAATTGGACAATTGCAATGCCATCTCTTCCAATATATGTCTAATAATCTCCGAAGATTCAAAGGGTTAAAAAAGTCGAGATATTGCTCATCCAGAGACTGCATATAATCATCTGCTATAGCATTATTAATTCTAGGCAGACGCAGCAACTTTTCACAAATTGCTTTAGTCTGAGGTAAAAGAGGGTCAAATAACCACTCCATAGTCCTGCTAGCGTAACTTGACTTTTCAGAAACCCTAGTCTGATTGTTATCAAAGCTGCAACCTATATTTAATAAATTAGTAATGGTTAAGGGATTGTTGAATTGTTGAGTGTTGGATTTCTTTTCTAATAATGTTTGGAAGTTAAAAGAATTGTTAAGACCATCGTATGTGGTGAAATTCAGAAGAAATTCAAAATGTTCCGATTCAAAGGCTTGGAAGTAAAGCCATTTAACTTCTTGTTGCGAGACCAGACGAGGATAGTTTAGAGGAATTGAAGAGGACATCAGCGACGTTGGAGTTAGTGACGACAACGACAATGTGGACTTAGCAGAGTCTATGGTTGCGCCATGGGCTTCTGTTAAGCACTGAAGAGTTTCCAAATTAATGGTGTCATCATCAATCCAGTGGAAGTCGTACGAGCTGAGCTTCGGCCCCGTCATACGACGATAAGAACAAGAGCTGCCCTTCAGCGAGCAGGTTCCACACGGTAATTCAACGTTGCATGCTCGTTTACTTATTGCGCATTGATCACATGCGCGACGTTTCCTCCCACGCAGCTCTGGGCTAGGAATAGGATGTCCAATAGCTTCCCGAAAAACACATGTTTTCCAGTGTTTGCGGAGGGAATCCCTGAACAAGAGAGTCTGTAAGTTATCTATCTAATAACAGAGTAGGGGGCACTAATTCATCTAGGACTTGCATACCTGCGTGTAAATTTCCATAGACAATAGGTACATTGGTACGATTCGCCGCTGCCGTCTACGTGGTTACCAATTACATTTAGCAAGCGCCGATCGATGTGCCGAAACGGAGTGAGAAACACACATACGTGACCGCTGATGTCTCTGTAGGTGCGCAGAGCGCCCAAACGACGCTGAGCAAGTATTGCAGATGAACCTAGGCGCGTCCATGTTGGATAGGAGCTTCGCAATCTGGAAGAGTGGAACGATGCAGCCGTTCTTCATGGACTCTGGCGGACAATCAAGTCCAGCCAACTGCAGACAAAACGCGGGGGCGGCACAAAACCCCAGGTTTCCGGGGTAAGGATGAGTGGAGTCGGGAGAAGGAATGCGGAGATTCCTGATGACAAACAGATTACAGATTATTGCTCCCGAGGTCGAAAGGATCTGGCGATAGATTTTGTATCCGGCACGGCCGTATTTCCGGCCCCGCGTGTTACACATCGGGAAATAAACGCTGCAAGGCGGGTATTTGCCGCAGCTCCTGGACCAATGGCTTGCCGTGAACCTGCGTTAGCTCCGCGACGAATCCCCGAAGATGACTAAAACTTTCCCTGATCCTGCGGCAGAGAAGCCACGAGAGGATTGAATTTGCCATGATTTGCTATGATTTGAAGATAGTAATACGATAATACAGAAAAAGTGATCGGTAGGAGACGAGTTATATAAAGAGGATCAAAGTGAGCAGCTGGAATATGTAATACTTGTCCATTGTAACCATTGGAATAAATCTTTCTGCAACATACATCACATCCTATATAAAAACACGAGATGGCTGGAAGCTTGAGCATTCGTTCCGGCCTCAAGGCAAACTGGCCATTGGCTGCCGATTTGACTGGTTCCACTTTCCCCTTTCGATTTGAGGGTGAGGTAGCCGATGTCATTGTATATGGCGAGATTCCGGCTCAGATCGACGGCACGTTTTATCGCATCTCGCTGGACCGATTTATGCCCAATGAGCACAATATCCCCATTGATGGGGACGGACTAATCTCTGCATTCCGTATCGAGAAGGGACATGTCGATTTCAAGATCAAGTACGTCGGAACGGAGCGCTATCGGCTCGAAAGACGGGCCCGAAAGGCCTTGTTTGGCATTTACAAGAATCCGTGGTCCCACCACCCCTGCGTTCAGGCCGCGGTAGACTCTACGGGCAGCACCAATGTCATTCGCTGGGCAAACAAGCTCTTGGTGCTTGAGGAGGCTGCTAATCCACATGAGGTTGACCCTGATACGCTTGAGACTATTCGTTATGATCCGTTTGAAGATCAGGTTAAGGCGAAGGCCTTTACAGCGCATCCAAAAGTTGATCCATTTACCAATGAGCTCATAGGGTTTGGATATGAAGCAAAAGGTCCTGCAACCAAAGACATTGCAACATGGTCTCTAGATGACCAGGGGAAGAAGAGAGAAGAGCAATGGATCAAAGCACCTTGGTGCACTATCATTCATGATTGCGGAATCACCAAGAACTGGCTGATTCTAATGATGTGGCCGTATGATGCGACGACACCTGAGCAAATGAAGTCCGGAGCACCACATTTTACTTATACGGCTGACCGTCCTGCGTGCTTCATTGTCTTGCCTCGGAGAAAGAGACCAGCAATCGCAGGGTGGAAGGAGGGAGAGTATCGATTCTATAATTGGAAGCATTGCATGAACATTCACAATGCCGGAGCATGGGAGGATGAGGACGGTAAGCTCTATATTGAGACAACTCGCGTGCATGGGAATGTCTTTCCCTTTTTCCCTCCTACAGACGGCAAGGCTCCGACTAAGGAAGCATCTGCGGACTTTGTTCGTTGGACGATTGACCCATCCCAACCATCAGACACCTGGCTGGAAGACCCTGCTATGATCTTAGATCTACCTTGTGAATTCCCTCGGATTGATGAGCGGTTAACGTCAAAGGAGTACAAGATCGTTTTCCTAAATGTCTTCATCCCCAACAATACGGATGGCTCAAGCAACGTCTTCCAAGGACTGAACGGCCTCGCCATGATCAACACAGACACCGGCGAGAAGCATTTTTACTACCCTGGCGACGACTGCTACGCGCAAGAGCCATCATTTATTCCCCGTAGTGCTGACGCAGCCGAAGGCGACGGGTGGATCATGTCGCTTATTGAGAATCGCACTACCCAAACCTCCGATCTCGTCTTCTTGGACACGCGTGATTTTACTAAGCCGATTGCCATTGCTGCTCTTCCGTTCCGGATCAAGTCTCAGGTACACGGGAACTGGGTTGACGCCAAGGAGCTTGGGACGCGAGGATCTCTTGTCAACGTGCCGGAGGCTTGGCCCCTTTCCAAGAAGGGAGGATTGGAGCCTCTGTGATTGTCTCAAGGCTATATTGCTCCTTTAGCTGCGTGTAGAATATAAGTTTATCATTGTGTCATTAGGCTTATGTAAGGTACCCCTCAGATTGAAGTGAAGAAATTTTGTCAATTTGCCATATTCCATTAGAGGTTGATATGTATTGTAAATCTAAAGGGGATTTCTTTTAGAGCACTCATAATACATTAAGTCCTATAGGAGGGAGGCTTAAGCATCAAATATAACAGTATTAAAATAATAACTTTTTAACTACTGTTAATACTGCTTCTATACCAGAAATAACTCAAGATATTTATTAACTCAAGGAATTCGATTAAAAGCTTGATTAATATCTTAGTTACCTAGGGCATTAATATCTTTAACTTTGATATAGTAATTGGGTAGTTATTAAGCAAGCTTATATTATGCAGAGGCTGCTGGGGCTCTCTAAGATAAACTTCTTCCCCAACAGATTATAACTCATCCTGATCCTTGTTGGACATAGCTCTTGATACTTATAAACATTTAGGATAAAGAAGGAGCAGTTATCTCAATTCCAGAACCTATGTAAACCATCTAGACTGGGCTAGTATAACATTGATGTTGCTTTCTCAGGCAGCAAGATTTGCTCCTGGCTCAGTGATATACCATGATAAATCTCCGCCACTCACTTCTCGATATGTCTTCCCTTTTCCAAGATATTGAAACCTATTAGAAGTCTTATACTTTATTTCAAAGTCTTCCCAACGAGGTACACTCAAGAGTTCCAAAAAATGTGGCACTGATCCGGGATACGGCCCCCAGACTTTACCATTAATAGTGCCGTTTTTGTACCTAGACAAAATAAGTTTGTAAGTAAAGAATGTAATATAATATAAGTGAAGATTATATATACTTACCATGAACGACATGATGAAGTCCATACTAATTGTTCCATCATTTTATCTTTATGCGCTTGGAAATCATCTATAGCAGCGCGAGTAGGTGATAAAGACTTAACTCCTTGAGTTTGTATTTTATCAACTGCTTTAAAAGCATATTTCAATGTTTCCTCTAAACATGCTATCAAAGAGCCGTTTGATAGAGGAAAGTTTGGGCCGGTAGCCACTACAAATAACTCTGTTAGCAAATATATCCTTCACTTTTTAATCATAAAACCTACTAAAGTAATTTGGATATCCGGCTACTGCCACGGAGAGATATGAACGGGGCTCATCTTTCCATTCTTCTCTTAGATCCTTCCCATTCTCTCCAATAATAGTAAATGATGGGCGGTATGAATTATCAAAGCCTGTGGCGCAGATAATAGCTTCAACAGTAAGTTGAGTACCATCAACCATTTCAATTCCAGTTGGTGTGATACGCGCAATTGCATCGCTTCTCACAACAACATTGTCTGAGGCTAGAGCCTCTAAATATCCATGGCCGGGCGTCATTCTTCCAAATATGTTAGCAATTGAAGAAGTATATGCAATATAGTTTACTTACCTTCGACATCCTACTGCGAAAGTAGGTATCAATTTCGACGCTAGCTCCTTTTTCCCATTTAACCTCTTCTCCATTACCTCTCTAGAATTTTGGTAGAGCTTCTCTTGTAAAGGGGTATCCTTAAACTGGAGATTAAAAAATTGGTTTGCAGAGTTCTCAATTTCTTTTCGGAATTTCAGAAATTCATTAGGATTATTAATCCATTGCGCTTTTTGTTCCTTAGAAAAGACAGAGTCTCGACCCTCAGGAGCAAACTCAGAGGCAAATTCTGGAGTTATCCACGTTGGGGAGCGATTAAAGGAAACCATTAACTTTGCTTCTGTTTAATTTATATGAATTATTAGTACAGTAAGCCAGTTATCTGCTTTTGGGGATATCAATACGCACGCTTTTGTATAATTGGCACAATTTGAATAGCAGATGAACCAGACCCAATCACAGCAACAGTCTTTCCTTTAAAGGAGTAGTTAGAATCCCAGGCTGCGGAGTGAACTAAAAACCCTTTATAAGTGTTAATACCCTCGATTTCTGGCCACTTCCATTTGCTAAGAAAATCAGGATTAGTTATTAGAATATTGCGTCTTAATTATGCATTACATACTTAAGGAATCCCCCAGCATTAATAAGGACCTCGCACTCATCCTCGATTATCTCGGAATTTGAATTCTCAATCTTAAGCTGCCATCGGCCAATCAAGCTATTCCACTTTGCTTCAGTAACGCGATGCTTAAAGTGAACAAGCTCAAATACTCCGTAGGCTTGTGCGCGGCCTTTGAAGTACTCAAAGAGCTCTTCTGATCCAACATAGGGCTTAGACCAAGATGGATTTCCCTCCCATGAGTAAGTATATCCATGCGCAGGGATATCACAAGAGCAACTGTAATCATATAAGCAACCCGGATCTACCATCAAGTCCTATATTAATACTTACCCTGGATATCGGTTTTCTAGCCAAGTTCCTCCCACATCGTGATTCTTCTCATATATTACAAGACTTGTTGGGCGGTTTTTGAATATTTCGTTAAAGAGCTTTACGGCAGCGATGCCCCCGATTCCAGCCCCTATCATCACCACCCGAACGGGCCTTGGTTGTCCAAGCCATTGCTCGGAAACTTGATATGCTGCTGTAGAACCCATGGTTGTCGTATGTAGAAGTCAATTTGATGATGCGACTTTCCTTCAATACTTCCTGCGGCCTGACGTTGATTTAAGAGGAAAGGGATAAGCGAAGGTTCGGTTAAAACCAACAGGTTGCTACTGTATGACTAATTTCAATTCATTTTCATTTTCCGCAGCTATTCTCAAATTTAATTCCGCGCCAATGCTTTTCAGAGATGGATGATTCATTTACCGCAGAATAAACCTTGCTATTATTAAGTGATTATGCGTAATACCTTTCTGATGCCAAATGCAAATAGCATGCGGGTTATCGGCAAATACCCACTTACGCAAACTTTTCCAAGCTATCAACGCGGATGAAACTAAAATCCGCAGTAGATGGACAGATTCGATTAATTTACCGCAGCATAAGACTCAGTGTTATTTGGTAATCATATGGGATACTTGTCTGGTACCAAATGCAAAGAGCATGCGGGGTATCGGCAAATACCCGCTTGCGCAAACTTTCCCAAGCTACGAATGCGAATAAAATAAAACCTGAGGTAGATTAACAGACTCAATCCTTGGAGTAATAATTTATAAGAATACGCTGTTAAACATGTATGAAGCTTCATCATCACCTCCATCAATCCAGCTTGCTCATTGAGAGAGGGAAGATATTAATCACAAGTCATTTCTGACTATTTCTCAAGCTTCCCTCCTACACCTATAGGTACCCCACCTTTTAGGTACCCCTTCACCAAAAACCTTACCTCGTTCAACTAGCTATTAAACAAAATATCCTCTACATTTACTTTTACTGCCCCTGCTAAAGATCCTAGGACAATAGTAGCTTTTACTAACCCTTAAGGAACCCAGTTAAAAAACTCCTTTACTACTACTGGGTAGGCAGCTTTTAATAAATAATAAAAAAAAACTACCCTTTTTATCCCAGGGAAAAGTAAAATAATTATTTTTACTTTTACTTTTAAAAAAAAATAATATTTTAATAATAAATTTATAATAAATAATATATTAATACTTTAATTAAATAAAAATAAAGTAAATCCCTTTTATTTTACGTAAAAACTATTAAAAAGATTTAGTTTTTTTTTTTTAATAATATTAAAGAAACTATTATAATTAACTAAAGGTATAAATTTTTTATATAAAGTAAAATTATAAAATAATTGGTAGAAATTAATGTAATATATAAAGCTAAATAAATTATTTTTATTTTAACTATTATAGTTATAAATAAATATTTAGTAACTTTTACTATAGGCTACTGCTTAACAGTAGTTAAATAAGTTTACGCTATATTAATAACTGCCTTTAAAACCTTTTTTTTTTTAAAATATAATCTAAAAGGTTTTAAAAACCTTAATATTTTAGATAATAAAAGATTTACTACTTAACTACTAGTAGGGTTAATATTAAAAGAGAGCTTGATTCCTTAAGTGACTAATTACAGCCTATGCTTATATAAATAGGCTGATTAACGTAGCTAATTAACGTAGTTAACTAATGTAACTAACTAACCCCAATAAAGGTATACTAATTAACCAAAAATATCCCATTTATTCTATCTATTACTAACTTAATAACTACTCCCTAAAAAAAACCTATAATTATCTTAATTAATTATTATACCTATAACTAAAACCACTATTTTTATAAACATTAGTATAGAAATTCCTATAAATTAAAAAACTACCTTTAAGCTAAAATAAAAACTTTTAAATTTTTCTTAATGTAATAGACTACTTTTTAAGTAAACTTATAAACTATTATATCCGACTGATATTTTACTTTTGCAATTCTCTTTATATAAGTATGTTTTTTAGTCCCCTTAGTGTTTATTATCTATTATTTAAGTGCTAAAGTAAGTGCTGTATTAATATAGCTTTATAATATTGTCCTCCTAGGCTTAAATATCTTTAAAACTATCTTCCGTTTTATCTTTAAGTATATCTTCTATTTTATTTATAAAAGCTTTTTTTTTACCTGCGTTATTATTTATACTAGGCGTTAGTTTTTTTATAGATTATATAAGCTTACGCTTCCAGCTACCTTCTGCTTTTTTATCTAAAGATACTTATATAGCCGCTAAGTTTTATTTTATCTACATTATTAGTTTATTTTTTCTTTTTAATGTTTTATAAATAGCTTTTAACTGCTTTATTATATTTATTTATATTTTTTATATAATAATCTGTTTTTTTACTAAAGTATATTATTTTTTTTTTATTTTAGTTTATTTTTTTAAAAGTTTTTTTTATACTTTTTTATATATTTTATTCTTTTATTACTTTTTTATTTTAATAATGTAATATTTTACTATAGCTATACTATTTATAATCTTATAGTTTATTTATTTTAAATAGATATTTAAGTTATATTACAGTTTTTTTATATTATTTAAAATATTATAAATTAAGTTAATAGCTAACTATTTATTCTATCTTTATATTTTTTTTATTTTTTTTTAAGTGTATTTATTAATATTATTAATAATTTTTTTTATTTATTAACTAACTTTTAGCTTCTGCACTTATTTACTTTATATCCTAAGCTAGTTTTTATATAAAAGATCTAATACTTAAATAAACTCTTATATTAAAGCTTTAGTAAACTTATTATTTATCTTTAAGTCTTATATATAATATATAATTTTTTAGTAAAACTTATTAATTACTTTTATTACTTTTTTTTTATTAATTAATTATATTTTTATTATTATTAATAGTAGTAGTAAAGTAATATATTTTAGTTTATAAAAGGGAGTTTTAAACTATTATAGTTTAAGTATTATATTTATTATTTTTTCTTTCTGTTCTGCTTTAATAGGCTGTCTTACGGTTAGATAAACTAAATATTTAGTATTAATATTTTCTCTTATATTAATTAAATTAATAATATTTACTACTATTTTAACTATTTATTTTTTTAATTTTATAGTCGTTTTTATAATATCTATATTATTAAATTTATAATACTTTACTAAAGCGTAAGTAAATTTAAATGTTTTATATTATAAAAGGTTTTATATTAGTGTATTTATACTGTCTATATTAATTTTTTAAAGTTTTTTTATAGCTATTACTGCTACTATAGTAATTACTAAAAGAATATAAACTTATTTATTTTTCTTTAATAAATATATAATTTATTTAACTTTAATGGATATATTTTTATATCTGCCTTATTAGTTTTAACCTTTAGCTTTTAAAGCCGCTGTTAAGATACATTTATTTACGTATACTTTTTAATATTTTATATATTCTACTTTATTAACTTTAATAAAGTTAAAAACTTTATTAATTAATAATTTACAGTACTTTTATTTATTTACTGTATTTAACCTTTTTAGGTCTATAGTGTTTATACTTTTATAGTTTTTCTGCAGGGTTTAGTAAATTACTTATATTCTCTTCAGCCTTATATTTATTTATCCCTTTAGTAAATTATATACTTTAATAATTTAATTATTTTAGCGTCTCTGTAGTATATTTATTTTTTAATTTATAAGTTAAGTTATGTTTTATAAAAACTAAATGTAAGGTAGTAGTATAAAATATTAAAGAAAAGAAAATAAAAAAAGAAAAAAAAGAAAAATAAAAAAATAGAGAATATAAGTTCTAATAGCTTATAGAATTTAAAAAAACTTTCTTTTACTTTTATACTACTTTACAGTTATATATTTAACTATTAGTCTACTACAGCTATTATTAAAACTATTAATATTTCTCCTCTTTTTTATTTTCTTTTAAGTAGTATTACTTAAATATTTATTTTTAAAATAGTTATTACTTTTATTATTTTTAATATTTTTAAATATATATCCTCTACTAAGTATTTAAGTTTATATTCTTTTATAAAGTTTTTTATTATCTACATTAATTTTTATTATTTTATTTATTTATTATCTTTTAGACTATATCCTTTTTATTTTACTAAATATTCCGCCTATAGGTATTAACTCCTTTTATTTATGTATTTTTTAATAAATTTTTTAATTTCCCAGTATTTTTTTTTATTTACGTATACTTTTTTAAGAGGTTTAACTATACAGTTAAATAGATCTAATGTATTAAGTACTGGAAATAAATATATTATTAAAATAATATTATAGATTTATTAACAGGGAGGTAATTTAAGCTTATATATTAATAATTTTATTTTTTTAATTACTTTAAATAGATTGGCTTTTTATTATATTTATTTACGTAGGGGCTTACCTAGCAGTAAATATCTATTATATAACTTTAGGTATACTTTATTACTTACAGTATATTCAATTAACTTATGTTTCCTATTATATATTTATTTAGCTATTATTACTACTATTTTTATTATATACTGTGTATCTGCAGTATAAAACTAACGAAATATATTTAGTATATTTTAGTCTATCTTTTTATTTACCTTTAGTATTTCCAGCAGCCCTACTGGCTTAAAACCTATTACCAGTTTATTTAGCGATTGGCCTAGTAGTATATTTAATAAGTTATTTAAGTAAAATTATAATACTGGTATTACTTCCGTTTATAGTATATTTAATATAGCTATATAATATTAAATTATAATCTTT